AGTAAAGTAACACAGGATGGTTTTAAAGCAGATGCGTTTGACATATAACTTTCCTACACCGGCACCCCCACCACCGCTGAAGTGCAGGGGACCCTCCGCCACTGTCCTATGTCACCTGAACCCTGACACACCCCTCCCCGTGCCACCACCCACAATGTGGGTAACCTCCGTTCTGTGGTCAGCGTCCAGGGCTTTGTTTCATTGGCCACTGTCCCTTCCTTTGCTTTGTTTCCCTACAATCCGTACAGGACAAGCCCTGAGATGAACCACATCTGTCCTTCTCCTTCTAACTGACGTCACTAACATACTACCACCTGCTCTAGTTCCGTCCGAGTCAGAGGTTCTCAAACTTTATAGACCTACTACCCTTTGTCTAGGAGACAAATAGACAAACAAAAAGACCACAGTGTCCCCCTGAAAATCTACTTTTTTACCCAAAGAGAAAATAGGCTGCAAGTGTGCCTGAGGCTGCAATGGCTCACCCATCCCTGATCATCCAACACCCCCCGGGGGTGGCCAATCCTGGCACCGTGGGAAGCTCTGATCCACGAGGGAACAGAAGGCGGATTTCCCCTCTTCATATTGCTACCAGCAGAGAGGTACTCCACTGCATATATATTTCTTTATCTATTCACATGTCATAGCGTATTTGAGTCTAATGGTTTCAAAAACCATATTTAACTGGGACCGACACCTTTAGGAACCCAAATCATGAAACATGTGCCCATTTATTTATTTTTCATATCCTCCATGTCCCATTCTTTAGGAGGGCCATCCCAATAGTGCCTTGGGCTCACCCAGCAGTGCTCGGGGGCCACCAGGGCTATACCAAGCCAGCATTATCTGGGTATCAAATTCACAGAGCGAGCAATTGCTCCACCACCTCAGCTATCTCCCTGACTTCCCCCCACCCACCTACAACTTTTTTTTTTCATGCACCTTTCTTCTGTCAATTGGACTAGCTGTCTTATTCCTATCTCCAAAATGCCTGTTCTTTCTGCATGTGCCATTCGTGTGATATTTTTTTCCCTCCTACAGTAGAAATAAATGTGTGGCTACATTTGTTCTGCTGGTAGCAAAGATCAGAAAGGTCTTAGTCTTAGGAAAGATGCTCCATTTTCTGGTTCAAAGAAAGGAAACAGTGTCCAATGTCCTGCTAGGAAAAGTTGAGGCCAGCAGGCATGCCAAAGGCTCAATTCACAGGATGCTTCCAGCACTCAGTCTCAAGGAGTTGAAGGAAAGAGGCAGGGATACTCACATGCCTCTTACAAGAAAGTTAGGCACCCAGAGACTGCAGACCAGCTGCAGGGAAGACACTTCCACCACCCCCTTCCCAGGGCTGCCAGTGAGTGGACGGACCCCGCTGCTGCAGTCACTAACATACTATCATCCCCGTCCCCCCAACCTAAGTGCAGGGACTGGTGACCCAGACTTCTTTCCCTTCGATTCCAGGAACTAGCAACTTCCTAATCAATTCCAGTCCTAACACACACAACGGTGTAACCAAGAAAGGGCACTAACACCTCTTCCATTGTAACCAGGGTATCTATTAATTTGCTTCTGCTTTCTCTGGTGACTTTCCATGCAGAAATTGTTAAATGCAAAAATCCATGTTGGTAAACAAAATCAAGAGAATTAAATACACTGTCTCTAACAAAACACAAACTTTGGGCTCGTTTTAAGCACGAATTTGACATTTCTTTCTATTTCCTGCCATCCAGATTTCTCCATCTCTACTGACAAGCACCATGTAAACACAAATCTGGGTTCCCTCTACAGAGTATCTCTTGACCGTAGTTCATTTTTTCCAATGTAGCTTTAAGCTTATGATTTTAATCTTGTATGTGTATGTAAGTTATTTATATATGAATCCATATATGAAATGCCAAGTAATTCCTACAGTTGTTTTAAACCACAGCTTTGCTGTTCTCAAGTTCCTGGATTTGGTGCATAGCTTAGAGTTCCCCTTTAAGTCTTTTCCTCCCAAAAGAGTGCAACTGACTTATTTTGTTGTTGCTGTTACTGACTCTGGCCACCTCGGGCCTGTCTGTGTTCACTGGGTTGGCTGAGACATCTCTGGGTGAGCAAACAATTCTCTCTGTCAAAGCAGTCAGCCTAATTTTCTTTGAGTTTATAGAATTTGATGTGAAATTCATAATAGTTCCTGTTCAGTGCATCCTTTCTACCTTGAAGCCCTCTGATTTGCAGCACGAGGTCCCTTCATTGACCAAAACCTTCCTAAGTCTCTTCAGTTCACTGCCCCATCACGCTGACATCACCTCTGTTCCTCTCTCTACTCCTTGGCTAGGGCTACAGTCACAGAACCACTCAGTGGATGATTTAACCAGCAGACCTGTATTCATTTATGGTTCTGGTGACTGGCTGCCCAAAGTTGGGGGCCAACAGGCTTGCTGAAGGCTGTGTCCATACACAGTCATCTAACTGGGCAGTGGTCACAGAGGATCAGGGCCCATCATACAAGCATCCTGTAAATGACCTACCTCGCACTGAGCCTATCTGTAAATACAGCCACATGCTGAGAAACCAAGAAGTAGCACCTGACCTTCAGGGGGGCCCCAATCCAGCCCATACTTTATCCTTCTTGGCCATTCTTGAAAACACCTACAGTTACCGCCTTGACGTTCATTCTCGGGCTTCTGTTTCTTTCTTTTACCACCTTGGTGTTTTCTCCCTTTACAACCAGAAAAGCCTACCAGTTCTCTGGTCCCAGTCTTCGCCCTACGCCTCTGGACAAGACTCCAACTTTCTTGCTCTGATTTTCTCTCACTTCGCTCATGCTGGAGTTGAGTCCTTTTGTTGTTCTCCCTACTCCATTCTAAGGGCATCCCGTTGTCACTTCGCAGAAGCTACCTACTTGCGGCATCTGAGACAAGTTCAATAATCTGAATCTTGGTGCTGACAGGCAGGGAAGATGAGCTGGTATGGGTCCCGCTCCCCATCTGTCTCATCCTCCTACTGAAACCAACCCCATGATGGTAAGGGAGGAGCTGGCATAGCCACAATCGCTAACACATTTCACAACTCTCCCAGTGCCCCGAATACTAACGACCAACAAAATCAGAGGGCAAAGGGCAGGAAATACACTTCTCCCAAAAAGGAGGAGGCCAAGGAAGGAATATTTTTGGATAATCCAATCAGCTATATTACCTTGAACCTTTTTTTTTCTTTTTTTGGTAAGGGGTTGGGGGTTGGGCCATTCAGCTGTGCTCAGGACTTACTCTTGGCTCTGTGCTCAGGGATCATTCTAGAAGCACTTGGAGGACTCCATGTGGTACTGGGAATCAAACCGGGGTCTGCTGCATACTAAGCCCGAACTCTCTCTCCAGCCTGCATCTACAATCTTTTTGTTTAGCTTTGTTAGTTTTTGAGCCACACCTGGTAGTGCTCAGGGCTCATTCCTGGGCTTTGAGCTCAGGGATCACTCCTGTGGGGCATCAGAGACCATATGGGGTACTGGGGATTGAACCCGGGTCAGCTGTGTGCAAGGCAAGTGCGCTACCCACTGCACTATCTCTCTGGTCCTACAACTTGAACCTATTAAGAAACAAGCTAGCTTAAATCTCCATCTCCTAAATTTGACTCTGTAACATTGTTTTCTCAGAAAAATGTTCTTCTCTTAAGCCTCTAGGTAATACTCATCTCCCTTATGCTATGGAATGTTTTTACAGGAATAAACCTCTTATCTAAAGAAATCTATTCAGACGTTCACCACTAAATACTGTGGACAGAATTTCCCTGGCACTATCCCCACCTACCCACCACTTCTCTCTCTGAACAAATTAGACCCAGTCTCAGAAGGGGAGTGTCAGGCATATAAAGCTGAACCCAAGGTGAATATGCAACAGCTACGTCCAGGCTCATTTGAAAAGAGAAGCAGAAAAAAATCTCTCTCCATCAGCGTCTCTGTGTCATGCATATGGGTGACAGTTTATGCTTGAGCAGGGCAGGGCTCCCAGTATTCTCCTGTCTTGGGCTGGATGAGAAAGCATGGACACATGTGTTTCAGTACATGGTGTGGAGGTGTCCTCTGGAGCTGTTTGAAAGGAGCAATGGAGGAACATGTCCCGTGCTGTCTAATATCCAATGCTGTATGATCTAAAGATTAAGACTTATTCTTGACCCGAGTCCATACTGCCTAATGAACATCATAATTCTACTTGGACCTGAAGTCTAGAGCACATTACCACCAGCCCAGTGGTTAAAGAAACGTGTTCTCCCGGAGCCTTTCCTGAATGAGTCCAGAGAGAGGAATGTCTGTAGAACACAACAACAGTCTTGTAATATCAGTTCATACATTCCTTTTTGTTTGTTGGGTTTGGGGGTTTCTTGGTTTTTGCTTTTTGGGCCACGGCTGGCAATGCTCAGGGGTTATTCTTGGCTCTGCACTGAGTAATCTCCTTGGGGGACCATATGGGATGCCGGGGACAGAACCTGGACTGGTCACATGCAAGGCAAATAACCTACTAACACTCCAAAACATTCCTACTTCTTAACTGAGCTGATGGCATTGCCCAATTTTCCTTTTGGATTGGGGGCCCCTCAGGGTTGCAGAAGGCCACCTACGCCTAGTAGCACCTGGGAGGCCACTCCGTGTCTGGGGTCAAACCTCAGACCCTGTGTATGCCGAGTGTGTGCACCAGCCCTTTAAGCTCTCTTTTGGCCCCTTGCTATTCAACTTATGGATTTTTCTCTTTGAGAAATACTTGGGTATCTTCTATCCAGCACATTCAAGGCTCAGAGTAAATATTTCTGCGTGTTCCCGTTAAAGGACCATGACAGAGACTTAACAGAAGGAATGAACCAACTCTGAGTGCCAGCCCTTCAGAACACGCAGCATTGGCTATCTTAATCCTGACTTCAGTGACAGCTTGTTATGAAGAACAGCCACATCCGTGTGATAATAACTGGGAAACCTAAAACATCCTTTAAGAACACCATGGGGCAGGAAAATCCGGTCATCACAAGCCTCCCTAACCAACCTCATTCTCCCTTTCTCCTTGTTGCGCTGCACCACACGGCTGGTGGACTTGATGTACAGGTGCCGATGCAGCTCGTCTATGAGCACCAGGTGGAGGTTCATCTTCTTGCTGTGAAGCTCCAGCCGCAGGTCGCTCAGTCCTTCCACCTGGAGCAAGGGGCCCTCCAAAGACTCGACCGCTGACACCTGAACAGGGAGGAAGAAGAAGAAAACCGATAAAGCACCAGTGAAACCAGCTAGCTGCCAGACAGAAGACAGTTGCCTCACACAGTGTCTTTCAGCCATCTTCCACCGCTGGACCCAAAGCAAGGCGGCACTGCGGGAGGCCAGCAGTGTGCCGTCTCTGTACCCAGGGTGGCATCTGTCCACAGACGGGCTGGAAAGGCACGTGAGAGGCCGTGTGCCAAAACCGGCTGCCCATCCCTCAGTCTCTGGAGCCAGCTGGGTGCAGCAGCTGAGTCCTGCCTTGAGGCACGAGACATCTCTGCCACACGGGGCTGCGAAAGGCCACCCTGACCCAAGCCGACATGGCATCAATGAAAGGACCCCGTCATTCGTGGTCTTCACAAGAACTCCGTGACTCGTGGTTCCGACCCCCTCGGAGTCACGGCCTTCCCAACAACAAAGCCTAAAAGCACCCTGGCAGCATCTGTAATGATTCTCAGAGTGATGAGGAGGGAGAAGACAGTGGACACACACGTGTGTCTTGACACACAGTCCCTGCTCTCGCTCCTCCCTGCGTGTCTTTGATGCGGACTGCTCCCAAGCACACCAGCCCAGCATCAGCACCCTGTGGCCCAATCGTATGAGGCAGAAAAGTGGACGGACCAGGGGAAAGAGGCCCCCCTGCTGGGAACTGCATTTGGAGAGATCCTGAGACACAAAGAAAGGGCCAGAAGAGGGAATGAAGGTGTAGTCTACGGGTGGATGCCTAGAAGTGTAGATGAGGAGCTCGGGAAACTCCAACTGCCTCTGAAATGTCTTTCTTTCTCAGCCAAGGAAAAAGAAAAAGGGTCAGCAAGTGTGATAGGGTCCGAATCATCACAAACATGAGAGGGCATCTCTCTTTTTTCTTCTCTGTAGAAAAACCCTATATATATATTCATTAAAGAACTTCAAGTAGGGGGAGCTAAAGCTATCCTTGAAAAGACAGAAACTACAAAGAATGAAATACTTTAATAATAATAGTGATGATGATGGGCTGGAGCGATAGCACAGCAGGTAGTGTATTTGCCTTGCACGCAGCCAACATGGCCGACCCGAGTTCGATTCCTCCGCCCCTCTTGGAGAGCACAGCAAGCTACTGAGAGTATCTCACCCGCACGATAAAGCCTGGCAGGCTACCTGTGACATATTCGATATGCCAAACACAGTAACAACAAAGTCTCACAACAGAGACGTTACTGGGCCCGCTCGAGCAAATCAACGAACAACAGGAGGACTGGGACAGTGACAGTGACAGTGACAATAGTGATGATGATACCAGGAATAATGACACAGTAGGACTGCTGACAAACTGGATTCCAAGGGAAAAGAGCTCCCTGAAAGGGTGAACTCACTTGATTCCCCACTCAGGTTCTAAATATGTGTGTACAGATGAAGACAATAGCTAGGGATACTTTGGTGCAAAAATACCTAATGTAGTTGTTAATATAAACATGTCCGTCCTTAACAACAACAACAACAAGAAAACAGGGGGGAGAGGGAAGGGGGAGAGAAGCATCTACAAATGAACAATGTGAGCAATGGGCCACCCAGGATGAAAGCATCGCTCACAAACCAACACCAGTCCACAGTTGGGAGAGAGACAGAGAGAGAGAGAGACAGAGAGAGAGAGATTTGCACTACAGGCACAAACTGGGCTGAGATGTGGCAGGACATGCAATGGCAGAGAGACCTCCACTGTGCTGTGCTATAATCAAACATCAGCAGCAAATAAGTTCCTGTGAGTTAACCAAGAGAGAATCAAGAAATGGCAGAGTGACAAGCCCTGGGCCAGTGCTGCCCCCTGAATCCCACCAGTTCATTTTCACGCTGACTTGCAGCTGCCCTGTGGCAGCAGCCCCTGGGCTTCGCACGAGCTGCCAGCCACTCCAAGTGGAAAGGCAGACTCACGAAATGACCAGAATGTCCCCAAGGAGGACAAACAACAACACATTCATTTACACTTATGCTCTAAAATGGATTTTAACTCGGGTCTCTAGCCGAGAAAAGAAGATGCATTAACCTTTCGTGACATCAAGATCCAGAAAATGAAAAATAATTTGGTAAACCAGTGGCCCATCATGTAGCTTATCCCTTAAGGTAATTAAATCCAGTCGAGATGTTTAAGCTTAAAAACCACCCACTGCACATCCACACTCGATTTGTTTGCAGGAATCTGCATGAAGATTTTTAACCCGAACAGTTCATGCTCCAAATGAAAAATTCTATGGCAACGTTGTCTTTCAGCATTTTCACACATAAATGTTTTCAAACATCAATGAAGCACTTAGCACGGGGCCTGGCACATAGCGAGTGCTCAAAGAAATTGTTTTTCAGAGCATCTATTTATTCTGTGAATAATGAACGCTTCGTGGGCACTTGCAATATGATTTTATGAAGTATTTTCGGTAAAGTGCTGCTTCCTTTATGGAACCCCAGAACTGTACACTTCCAAGTCTCAAAATATGAGCTCAATGACCATGTGTACACTGCAAGGAATCTTGGAACTTCATGGATCTAAAACCCTGACAACAAAGAGAAGAGAGAAGAGTCTCTGCTTTTTTTAATGAAACTACAGTGCTTTGTTTTCTGGCTTGCACTTATTCAAAGTCTAAAAGGCAATTATTATGAGAGCTAGGCAAGGTCACTGCCTTCCCCTAGACTAACCTTACTAAGTGGTACTCAAACCAATTTGAAGAAAATAGTTGTCAGTGCACATTTGATCTCTACTTGTCTCTTTGAAACATGACATTCAACTTTGTTGCGTGTGAAAGAGTGAGAGTGAGAGAGAGAAAGAAAGAGAGAGATTCATTTTATCTGATTTTAAGTGTTTTACAGTGCCACATTTAGCTAACATTCAACCCAAAAGAGCATCGCTTATGGTCAATTCAGTGATCCTAGAGGTCCATCTTTAAAGTACTTGCTAACATTTACACTTTACTTAAAGAAAAATCACTAAATATTCATCTACATTTAGAAGAACAGAGAACTGACTCCCAAAAGAGTACAACTAGAGGTATCTTGCATTTAATGGAGTAAAAGGAGCCATTTCAAACTGTACTGTACCATGACGGGGAGAGAGAGAGACAGTATAGTGGGTAGGGCACTTGCTTTGCATATGGCCGACCAGAGTTCAATCCCTGGCATTCCAAATGACAACCCCAGCACTGCCCCAGCACTGCCAGGAGTAATTTCTGAATGTAGAGCTGGGAGCAACCCCTTAGCATTGCTGGATATGGTCCCAAAATCAAAACCGAAAGAAATGTATTACACCATTTTCCAGATTTAGTGAATACAGGGCACTTTAGAACTAACACCCAAAGAAAAAGCAGTAGGATTGTTATTAGAGTAATGGAGATAGCAACAAAAGTCTCCCAGAGGAGCCGCTATGAAAAATGATCAAAACTGAGAGGAAAAGTGTGACCCACAATATCGCATGACATCAACAAGCCTTACTCAAATTTACAAGACCAAGCAGACAGGAATGGAACTGTTCCAATACCATGCATTCATACTGCAAACAGTGTCGCCCAAATTCCCAAGGATGCTCCACTTTGAAAAGGTAGATCACTATGCAATATGCTAGCTAAACGTATTTGGAATTTTTTTTTCTTACACATATGCTAAAAATAAATTTTTCATGGAGGGAAAAGATATTAGCCAAGAACTTTGCTCACAAAACTATCTATTATTATCTAACAGAACATTAGTGTCCTACTCAACACGGTTGGAAACTACTCACACAGATTTAAATATATATATATATATACATATATATGTTTTGAGTTCAAAAATAAATATTTCCTTTAGGATTATGAAAATAGGCAAACATTGACAAAATGTTTTACCACATGACACTGAACAGAAGCACTGTTTTGATACTTAAAAACCTATCTACTTAACAAAAAAAAAAAAAAACGGAATTCTGAAAAATGTTTCCAGAACTCAAAAAGATACACACGGTACAGTTAAGTGTACATAATCAAGAAGTATCTCATATTTTTTAAAAAATTTGCCTTGGACTAAGAAATAAGTACAAGAAATCTTTGTAATTAGGAACTGTATCCTGCATGATCTTTCCCAGCGTCTATTTCTCTATTCATTTTACCTTGAAAAGTACTAACGCACAGGGCAGTTTTTAAATTATCGTATTCAAATACAAAGATGGAGTTTTGTGCTATAGTCAGAGGTGCTCAGGGTTTACTCCTGGTTCTGTGCTCAAGGGACCAGATGTGGGTATCGGGGAAATGAATCAGGGTCAGCCCCACGCAAGGCAAATGCCTTGATATCTCTCAAACCCCGGAGTTTTGCAAAACTGTAGCACTGTAGCACTGTCCTCCCGTTGTTCATCAATTTGCTCGAGAGGGCCCAGTAACATCTCCATTGTGAGAATTGTTGTTACTGTGTTCGACATATCAAATACCTCACAAGTAGCTTGCCAGGCTTTGCCTTGTGGGCGAGATACTCTTGGTAGCTTGCCGAGCTCTCTGAGAGGGGAGGAGAAACCAAACCTGGGCCAACCAGGTCGGCCGCGTGCAAGGCAAACACCCTATCCGCTGTGCTATCGCTCCAGCCCTAGAAAAGATGAAGTCATGAAATTTGCTTATAACTGCATGGACATGGAGAGTATCATGCTAAGTGAAAATGAGTCAGAAAGAGAGGGACAGACATAGAATGACTGCACTCATTTGTGGAATATATAATAACACAATATGAGACTAACGCCCAAGGACAGTGGAGATAAGGGTCAGCAGGATCGCTCCACGGTTTGGAAGCCTGCCTCATGAGTTGGGGGAGAAGGCAATTGGGATGGAGAAGGGACCACTAAGTCAACAGTGGTTGGAGGGATCACACGGGATGGGAGATGTGTGCTGAAATTAGACTAAGGACCAAACATGATGGTCTCTCAATATCTGTATTGCAAACCATAATGCCCAAAAGTAGAGAGACTAAGAAGGAAAACAACATAAACAAATAGGGGT